TCAGACTCAGGCATTCCTGTCACGTCAGTAGGGAGAAAACCCAGAAATAGCTAAACCGAGCTCTGCAGAATAAAGAGGCAGTGTCTTGGGATTTAAAAACCTTTTTGGAGATGACAGACAAAAGGGATCTCTGTTGGTTCAGGAGTCCCAGCTGCAGCTGCCGTGTGAGGAGGCGCTTGCAGGGCCGGCTGTGTTGTGTGTGTCTGCGGCAGTGCCCAGCCAGGCAACACTGGAGATGGCCACTTGTGTTAGAGCCCACTCAGATCTTCACAGCCCACGCTGGAGACGGCCACTTGTGTTAGAGCCCACTCGGGTCTCCGCAGCGCACGCTGGAGACGGCCACTTGCGTTAGAACCCACTCGGGTCTCCGCAGCCCACGCTGGAGACGGCCACTTGCGTTAGAGCCCACTCGGGTCTCCGCAGCCCACGCTGGAGACGGCCGCTTGCGTTAGAGCCCACTCGGGTCTCCGCAGCGCACGCTGGAGACGGCCGCTTGCGTTAGAGCCCACTCGGGTCTCCGCAGCGCACGCTGGAGACGGCCGCTTGCGTTAGAGCCCACTCGGGTCTCCGCAGCCCACGCTGGAGACGGCCGCTTGCGTTAGAGCCCACTCGGGTCTCCGCAGCCCACGCTGGAGACGGCCGCTTGCGTTAGAGCCCACTCGGGTCTCCGCAGCCCACGCTGGAGACGGCCGCTTGCGTTAGAGCCCACTCGGGTCTCCGCAGCCCACGCTGGAGACGGCCGCTTGCGTTAGAGCCCACTCGGGTCTCCGCAGCCCACGCTGGAGACGGCCGCTTGCGTTAGAGCCCACTCGGGTCTCCGCAGCCCACGCTGGAGACGGCCGCTTGCGTTAGAGCCCACTCGGGTCTCCGCAGCCCACGCTGGAGACGGCCGCTTGCGTTAGAGCCCACTCGGGTCTCCGCAGCCCACGCTGGAGACGGCCGCTTGCGTTAGAGCCCACTCGGGTCTCCGCAGCCCACGCTGGAGACGGCCGCTTGCGTTAGAGCCCACTCGGGTCTCCGCAGCCCACGCTGGAGACGGCCGCTTGCGTTAGAGCCCACTCGGGTCTCCGCAGCCCACGCTGGAGACGGCCGCTTGCGTTAGAGCCCACTCGGGTCTCCGCAGCCCACGCTGGAGACGGCCGCTTGCGTTAGAGCCCACTCGGGTCTCCGCAGCCCACGCTGGAGACGGCCACTTGTGTTAGAACCCACTCAGGTCTCCACAGCCGACACAGCTTACATGGCTCTGTTTCATGGAATGATTGACCTGGAACGCCAAGCTGTCCCAGCTCTTAGTTCCAGATGCTTCCAAGTGCTTCTGGACTGAGAGGGTTGTCTTACTGGTTAGTCCTCTATATTATTGGATATGTCGTGTGTGTGTGTGTGTGTGTATTTTAAGATTTATTTATTTATTTGAAAGGCAGAGGCAGAGAGAGAGGTCTTCCATCCACTGGTTCACTCCCCAGATTGCCACAACGGCCAGAGCCGAGCTGATCCGAAGCCAGGAGCCAGGAGCTTCTTCTGGGTCTCCCAAGGGGGTGCAGGGGCCCAAGAACTTGGGTCATCTGTTTCCCAGGCCATAGCAGAGAGCTGGATCAGAAGTGGAGCAGCCAGGACTCAAACCGGCGCCCATATGGGATGCTGGCACCGCAGGCAGTGGTTTTACCCATTAAGCCACAGCGCCGGCCCCGTGGTTCTTAAAACTACTGTGAAATCCAGGTTTGCAGGAAATTCTGATTGCCTGTCTGTGACTGATGTTGTTTTCTGCTCCCCAAGGCCATGCTCAGCTGAAGTGGTATCGGAAAGTCCACTAAGGGTCTGAGTGCTGCTCAGACGAGTTCTCTGGTGGTGGCTGGTCTGAGCCTCTCTGGCAGTCCCACCGCTGGGACTCCTGGAGACACCTGTGTGTCTGTGCTGCTCAAGGAGAACCGGAAGGGAGGCCTTGGGTGGAGCAGGCGCAATGCTGCTGCATGGGCCCGTGGCATTTTTCTGACTCCTGCCATTTCTTTCACTTCTTCAGGCTTGTGCTTCCGCACGTGGGAGAGCTGCCTGCACGCACTTCCTCGCCCCATCCGGTGCCAGTGTCCTCGACCTTGCTGCTCTAGTGTGTCTGCGATCCTGACTTCCATGGTGGTGCTGAGGCTACGATTGCCTGGCTCCCCATGTTCGTGTCTGCGCTGCTGGTGGGGTGGCTGAGGTCCTAGGCCACGGCAGAATCGTAGAGCGCCGTCCTGTAGGCACAGTGAGGGAGAAAGCAGTTGGGTCCTGGAAGAATATCTTCCATCAAACAGCAGTGTTTTACAGCTGTAACTTACACTAAAGTGCACCCTTCTGAGTGTGTGAGGGGGAATGAGCAGCGTGTGTGGTCAGCACCTACAGAGAAGACACAGGACAGACTCAGGCCCCTCGGGGTCCCCCGTCCCTTCTGGCTCACCCCGCCTGCCCAGCATCTGCCACCCAGCGATCTGTGTTCTGTTCCTGTGTTTTGCCTTTTCCAGACCATTGCAGTGCACAGCCCCCGGCGTCTGGCTTCTGTCCCCTCCCGTAATGCAGCTGGGGTGCCCTGTGCCCCTTTCTGCTGCTGCACGGTGTCCTATTGCAGGGACTTCTGGGAGCTCGGTTGCGCCTTTTGTCCAGTGCTGTGAAGAAGGAGGTCCGAGCTGCTTTCTGCATGAACAGCGCGTGCAGGTTTTGTGGGCGAGGTTTCCACGACGTCTCATCCTGGGAGTGTTGGCCTGACGCTCCATACGTTTGACTCGGAGCAGCAGCATGCCTTCCCGTGTGGCTGCCCTGTTCTGTGTCCCCACCAGTGATGCGCAGTTTTCCGCACACTGCGCTGTCGTGTGTGAAGGGTGTAGTGCCAGCCCCTGAGGGTCCGGCTTGCGTTTCCTGGTGGCTGGTGGTGTTGGGCATCTTTTCAGGTGCATGTTGGTCACGTGACTCTCTGGTGAAGTGACTTCAAAGCTTTTGCCCATTTTTTTAATGGGTATATTTTCTTACTAAATTGTGAGCTGTTTGCTTTTTAATATTCTAAGTGCAAGTTGTTAATCAGGTATGTAGTTTGTGATTGTTTTCTCTTAGTGTGAGAAAGTGAGAAGGTGCGCAGGGCATTTCTTCTGTGTTGTGGAATGAGATCGTTGTCAAAAGCACTCCTGCTCCTGAGTTGTGAGCTGAAACAGGATCTCATTTTTAAAGAATAACTAACAACCTAGATGCTTAGACTTGCCTCTCTCAAATCTCAAAGTCATCTAAAAAATACCTTGAGGGAGCCGGCACTGTGGTGTAGTGGGTAAAGCCATCGCCTGCAGTGCCAGCATCCCATATGGGCGCTGGTTTGAGTCCTGGCTGCTCCATTTCTGATCCAGCTCTCTGCTATGGCCTGGAAAGCGATAGAGGATGGCCCAAGGGCTTGGGCCTCTAAACCCATGTGGGAGACCCAGAAGAAGCTCCTGGCTCCTGGCTTCGGATCAGCGCAGCTCCGGCCGTTGTGGCCATTTGGGGAGTGAACCAGCAGATGGAAGACCTCTCTCTCTCTCTCTCTGCCCCTGCCCCTGCCTCTCTGTAACTTTACCTTTCAAATAAATAAATTAATCTTAAGATAAGCTTTTAAAAAGAAATCTTGGCGTGAACCCATCATGCCAGGAGAAACACCTCACCGTACTTTCACTGATGATAAAATCGGAGCTTTTTCTTTCAAGGGGAGATTTTGGAAAGCCTACACGAGCTACTGTGATCTCACAGATCCCAGCACTTCAGCTTTTCTGATGAGATTGGGGGTGATGATGAGAATGATTTTGGTTATTGTGTATTGACATTGGCACTTGGAAGATCTGCTCTCAGGAAGCTGATACTGGCCTCCTGACAGTAAAAGGGTGTTATAGAGTCGTCCTTGGGTGAAGGACCCGTTCAACCTAGAAGACACCCCAGCAGATTGTAATGTGTGTGAATTCGAAAACTTCTTTGATGGTTTCAGGTTCCTCGTTGCAACTGAACTGAAGAAACTGGGCTTGTCTTGTGCTGGTATACTATAAAAAAAGAATGTGCACAGTTACCCACAGAGACAAAGTCCTCTTCCTTTACCCCTGTGCATGCGGGTTTGCGGCTGGATTCTTAGGTATTTCAGTCCAGCTGTGTGGCCGCCAGTTTCTAAGGAGAGTCACAGACTGTGAAGCATTGCTACTCTCCTCACTAATTTTTTTGTGTTTTGGAAATCTTTTTTATTAAAACATTATGGTTATGTGTAAGTTCTTTTTAATTTAATTGACAAACATTATTATTTTATTTTTAATTAATTGACAGTTAGCTTGAATTTCCAGTACGGTAAAAGGAGTCTGTGTAGCCCACTTCAGTGTGCTTCTGAGGGTGTCTGCGGTAATCCTGGACCAAGGACGCTCCCAGGCTGCCGCGTGGGATTTGGCTCAGGTGTCGCTGGGCGCCAATGGCCGAGGACGCCTGGCCTGGGCTTCAGTTTCTTTACAGAATCCAGCAGCTCTGCATTCTTTACACCAAGCTGTCATTGCAGGCGCCTCCTCAACTCTGCCCTCTGTTACCATAGGTGATACTTAATGGGAAGATGTGTAACTCTTCCCGAAACTGACCAGGTTTGGGATTTAAAAACATCTCAGATTAACATACTTGACCTGTGGAGCCCAAGCTGTGTGAGAGTTTCTCCCTCTACTCCTCCCACCCCCCGCTCCAAGAAAAGAAAGCTGTGGGGGCCTCTCACCCACCGGAGCCACTCGCACCAGATGGAAGGTGTGGGAATCAGCGGCTCCTTAGTTAATTTGGAAGATCACGTCTCAGAGGAAAGTTAATTTTGTCCACTTGATATTATAGCTGTTTAAATGATGGTTTTATGCTGGAATCGGCTGACAACACAACAGTGTACTTAGTTTTGACTGGTGTTTGAGGAGCCTCTGGGCAGGTGGCTGTGACGGGATTCGCGGTAGCTGGTTCACGGAGCACCACTTGTGACATCTCTGCTTCCCCTGCCCCTGCTACAGGGAGGTCCAGAAAGCAGTCAACACTGCCCAGGGCTTGTTTCAGAGATGGACGGAGCTCCTGCAGGACCCCTCCATAGCCACGAGGGAAGAGATCGACTGGACCACCAACGAGCTGAGGAACAACCTGCGCAGCATCGAGTGGGATCTGGAGGACCTGGACGAGACAATCAATATCCTTCTCTGTGGTCTGTGCCCTGGGCGGACGGCAGGTGTCTGCTCATGTTTGTGGGGCGTGGGTGTGACTGTGGACCAGAGTCGCGCTGGTGTTCAGGTCCCGACTCCACCGGGGGAAAGGGCACTACGATACTGGGAATGCAGTGTCAGTGCCACAGGTGTGTGGGCTCTTCCTGCACACACCAAGCGGTTCTCCGGAAGATGACGCTGGCTGTCCGTGTTCAGCATCAGATCACACAGAGGGAGGGCTCAGCCCCATGAGACTGCCCCCTTCACTCGCAAGTCTTCCTTAAGTTGATCTGCTGGAGCTCTCAGAGAGCTTGGGGAACACTTTGCCTGCATTTACCCACTTGTTAGAAAGGGTGCAGGACAGCCAGGTGGAAGAGACGCGCAGGGTGAGGTGCTTCTGTGCCCTGCCCTGCTGCACTGCCCTGTGGGACTGTGTGCCCAGCTCTCTGAACCCTGTCCTTTCAGGTTGTTATGGGAGCTTCACCAGACAGGCATAAGTGATGACATCATTGGCCATTGGTGACCTGTGATCAGCTCCCAGAGGCCAGGGAGGGGCGGGGCTAGAAATTCCAACTCTACACTCTACAACTCTTCCCTGGACGAGCAGCCTTATCCTGGGGCTGTCTGGAAGCTCTCAGCCTTCAGTCCTCTCATTAGCACAAAAGACTGACGTCCATGGGAGTGTCCCTTCCCTGGGTTTTAGGGGCCGTGTGGCTCTGGGCACAGTGGCCGACCTGTGTCTTCAATACAAAGTGGACATGGAGAGCTTAGATTGATGCTGTGTGCACAGTGAGCACCTAGCTGTACAGACACTGGAATACACAGACCACTGTTGGTGATACTTAGGGGTCGAGAGAGGCTTCTGTAGCCTGTCCTGTGTAGTCGTGACAGCAGTGTCACTGAATGCTGAATTTAGGGAATGCAGATCTGTTTTGCTAATCCGTGTGTGGATGTGCAGCTGATCTGACTGACAGAGCTGTGAAAGCTGAATTATAAATGGCCTTTTTTTTCCAACTGGAAATTCCGTTTATCCAGAACTTTAGATGGGAGATAAGCCAGCTGGGTGCTCTCGGATCCGATTTGTCTCCTTTTGTCAGGACCACTCCGTGTGAGCACAGGTTCACGGGCAGCTGCTGTGTGCAGTGTGTGATGCAGTGACCTTGGGTGCCTGTTACATGGCTGAGTGTGCTCCTGAAAAGTAGTGATGCAGTGCATGAGGAAGTGAGACAGGGTTGGGGAAGATAAAGAAGTTAGGAGGAAGGGGGCAGGAGTTCCAGTGATAGCTCCCTGTTCATTCCGCAGGTGCCGGGTGCGGCATCTTGTCTGCTACTGAGATTAGACTAATAAAGCAGTGAATTCGAGGTGAGGGGGGACGGATATTAACTACTAATAGCAAGAAATGCAGAGAACCAGAGTGATGGAGTAGGACCAGGCCAGGGGCGAAGGGCAGGGCTGCTCTGGAGAGGCCTAGAGCTTTTGAGGCTGGGGAGTTGGGTTGACATCTTGGTTTGGAATGGCAGTTGAAACATGCTTCAAAGGCTGTTGTGGGAAAAGTGAGAAGTCCAAAAAGGACGGGTAGAAGTGTCGGCCAGCATCTGGAGAGCCCGTCTGCGGAAGGGCGGCCTCGGGCTGTGCCGCGTCCAGGCATAGGCTGCTTCTCCGTGGCATCACCTCTGGGGCAGAGGAGGTTTGACCACACCTGTCTCGAGAACATTAGACCACAGTTAGCTTGCATGGGAGAGGTTCTGGGGTTTAGCGGGATGCTGTCCGACAGGCTTTGCAGAGGAAATTTCTTTGCCTTGACTTTTTGACCTACGCATAGTTGAAGCAAATCCTAGAAAATTCAACCTTGATGCTACTGAACTGAGTGTAAGAAAAGCCTTCATCACAAGCACTCGGCAAGTTGTCAGGGTAAGAAGTACAACCCTGCCGCGTCCCCTTGTGAGCTGGGAGCAATCTTCCCCCATGCAGTTCCTCTGGGTGAACGAGAAGATCCTTATTTTTTGTATGCTGGGCTCATTTCTTAGTGCAAGCAGCAAGGCAGCAAAATACCAGCTCCGGCGGCTACTGAGTGTTGCCCTGCTTGTCCCTGGCCCTGGCTCCCCCGGAGCAGCTGTCTGGCTGCCTTGTTTCTTAGTGCCCTGTTTCTGGACAAAAGGAGGAATTACCACTGTAGAAGCTGTGCCTTTCCTTAACTGATTTGGGAATCGCTTTGCGTTTTGAAGGCTTTGCTGGGTGTGGGTGCAGCCTCCTCAGCCCGTGCTGTTGACATTTCACGTGCAACCCTGTGGCAGCCCGTAGAGGACTGCCCAGATAAGCATCTATCGGAGTACAAAAAATGGTGCCAGTGAGCAAATCTGTAGTCCCCAGATGTTCACAGTGTGCATTATTTAGAAATCTAAGAGCACGTATCTCGTAAGTAACATCTGTGTCTCTCAGATGTGCTCTGTATTTTGAAACTGTGCGGCTGAGCTCTGAGATTAGCATAACTAGGTGGAAAGGCGCCAGCTGCCTAACACACGAACTAGAAAGCAGCTTCCTCGAATGAGAGCCTCGGCTGGTGTTTGCCAAAGGCTTTATTTTTAAAATTTAATGTATTTTTATTTGAGAGAGACAGAGACAGGCAGACCAAGAGAGGTCTCCCACCTGCTGGTTCACTCCCCAGATGCTGCAACACCTGGGGCTGGGCCAGGCCGGAGCCAGGAGCCCAGAACCCAGTCCTGGTCTCCCATGTGGGTGATGGGACACGGGTATTGGGGCTGTCCCTGAAGCTGACCAGTGCACATCACAGGAAGCTGGCACTGGGAGCAGCGCCCCTTCTCGAACCCAGGCACTGTGGGATGGGACGCAGTCTCCCCGAGAGGCATCTTCACTGGTGCACCCTACCTTGCCCTGCCAGAGTTTCCATCAGGTGATCTCCTTCTGAAGCTGTTTCAAATTCGGATTATCACTGAACTTCATACAGTCTTGTTCTGTCGGTAGCTGCCTGTCTAAACAACCAACCTCAGGTTGCACTGGTGCAGAGTTGAATGTTGGCTTTGAGCCCGTCCAAAATGCTGCTCTTATAGGAAGCTCCCCCAGCTATTTTTGTATAAATATTGTTGACTTTTTTCCTTTTTTGTAATAGGTTTTTAAGGACTCTAAATATTTAAGTGGTGCCTTGCAGTACAGTGTCTAGATTTGCAGTGGTGCTTATGGATGATGCAAAGTGAAACTCAGGAGTCAGTGTGTTGGTTGGTATAATTGGAAGTGAAATCAAAATTCTTTTTTGTTTTATTTGAAAGGAAGATATACAGAGAGAGGAGGAGAGAGAGATCTTTCATCTGCTGGTTCACTCCCTAAGTGCTGCAATGGCTGGGTCTGGGCCAGCCCAAAGCCAGGAGCAGCTTCTGGGTCTCCCATGTGGGTGCAGGGACCCAAGAACTTACACCATCTTCTGCTGCTTTCCCAGGCCATAGACAAGAGCTGGATTGGAAGTGGAGCAGCCAGGACTCGAACCTGTGCCTATAAGGGACACTGGTGCTGCAGATGGTGACTTAACCTTCTGTGCCACAGCGCTGGCCTCAAAGTACACTTTGTAATAGCTGAAAAGCTTTGCAAAGTATGTTCTTAGAAAGAAGTGTTACAAATATCTTTCTGGGGTTCAGATGTGAGCCATACTCAGCTGGTGATGTAACTGAATTTTTAGTCATTCTTGTTATAATTTGTCACTGTTTGGGGAAGCTGTTAGTATTTGCCAGTGGTGGACTAGCCCTAACCAAGCTAGTTAATCTTAATAAAAGCTCATTGAAAGCCTTATAAAACAGAAGGATGGTGCTGGCGCTGTGGTGTAGTGGGTAAAGCCACCACCTGCAGTGCTGGCATCCCATATAGGCTTTGGTTCAAGTCCCAGCTGCTCCACTTCTGATCCAGCTCTCTGCAATGGCCTGGAAAAGCAGTAGAAGATGGCCCAAGTACTTGGGCCCCTGCACCTGCGTGGGAGACCCAGAAGAAGCTCCTGACTCCTGGCTTCAGATCGACACAGTTCCGACCCTTGCGGCCAACTGGAGAGTGAACCAGTGGATGGAGGACCTCTCCCTCCCCCTCCTCCCCTCTCCCTCTCCTCCTCCCCCCCTCCTCCCCCTCCCCCTCCCCCTTCCCCCTCCCTCCTCCCTCTCTCTCCCTCTCTCCCTCCCCATCTGCCTCTCTGTGGCTCTGCCTTTCAAATAAATAAATAAATCTTAAAAAAAAAATAAAGAGTAGGAAATTGTAATGATACTAACCTGACAACAGATTAAAATAAGTCCCACTGTGTTTTACTTCACTATTACCACATTCAAGTAGAAAGTCACGTACAGGATATCTGCGTTCTGGGTTCAGGAAGCTGGCAGACGGGACCTTGTTGAGGTGAGGAGTTTGTGCATCAGAGTTGATGTAGTCCTGTGTTACCATAAGCGGCTGCCTCAACTTCGTGTGCCCCAGAATTGCGAGTTACCCTGGTGTCAGAGGAGCAGCCTGGGCCCGTCACCCCTTCTCGCAGGCGGAGAGAGAGACAGCAGTGTTTTCTGGCTGAGAAGCTCTTTGCTCTGTTGTCCTGGGTGCCCTTCTTCAGCCTGTGTGCTGTGCGTTGCCCTCGACCTTTGATGTGTGCAGCTCTTAACGTTGTGCTCAAGTTCTTTCCTAGAACAGCAGAGACTCCAGTGTTTGTGTAAAACTCTTGATAATTTTGGGGTTCCACATCTGGACGTCTATGAGATTCACAATGAAGTTGTGACTGTAGGAGCGTCCCAGCAGTGGGTGCTGTGGGAACGTCCCAGCAGTGGGTGTTGTGGGAGGGTCCCAGCAGTGGGTGTGCTGTGGGAGCGTCCCAGCAGTGGGTGCTGTGGGAACGTCCCAGCAGTGGGTGCTGTGGGAGGGTCCCAGCAGTGGGTGTGCTGTGGGAGTGTCCCAGCAGTGGGTGTTGTGGGAGGGTCCCAGCAGTGGGTGCTGTGGGAGGGTCCCAGCAGTGGGTGTGCTGTGGGAGGGTCCCAGCAGTGGGTGTTGTGGGAGGGTCCCAGTAGTGGGTGTGCTGTGGGAGCGTCCCAGCAGTGGGTGTACTGTGGGAGCGTCCCAGGAGTGGGTGTTGTGGGAGGGTCCCAGCAGTGGGTGTTGTGGGAGGATCCCAGCAGTGGGTGTTGTGGGAACGTCCCAGCAGTGGGTGCTGTGGGAGGGTCCCAGCAGTGGGTGCTGTGGGAACGTCCCAGCAGTGGGTGCTGTGGGAGGGTCCCAGCAGTGGGTGTGCTGTGGGAGTGTCCCAGCAGTGGGTGTTGTGGGAGGGTCCCAGCAGTGGGTGTTGTGGGAGGGTCCCAGCAGTGGGTGTGCTGTGAGAGCGTCCCAGCAGTGGGTGTGCTGTGGGAGCGTCCCAGCAGTGGGTGTGCTGTGGGAGCGTCCCAGGAGTGGGTGTTGTGGGAGGGTCCCAGCAGTGGGTGTGCTGTGGGAGGGTCCCAGCAGTGGGTGTTGTGGGAGGGTCCCAGCAGTGGGTGTGCTGTAGGAGCATCCCAGCAGTGGGTGTTGTGGGAGCGTCCCAGCAGTGGGTGTGCTGTGGGAGCGTCCCAGCAGTGGGTGTGCTGTGGGAGCGTCCCAGCAGTGGGTGTGCTGTGGGAGGGTCCCAGCAGTGGGTGTTGTGGGAGCGTCCCAGCAGTGGGTGTGCTGTGGGAGCGTCCCAGCAGTGGGTGTACTGTGGGAGCGTCCCAGGAGTGGGTGTGCTGTGGGAGGGTCCCAGCAGTGGGTGTTGTGGGAGGGTTCCAGCAGTGGGTGTGCTGTGGGAGGGTACCAGCAGTGGGTGTTGTGGGAGCGTCCCAGGAGTGGGTGTGCTGTGGGAGCGTCCCAGCAGTGGGTGTGCTGTGGGAGCGTCCCAGCAGTGGGTGTGCTGTGGGAGCGTCCCAGCAGTGGGTGTTGTGGGAGCGTCCCAGCAGTGGGTGTGTTGTGGGAACGTCCCAGCAGTGGGTGCTGTGGGAGTGTCCCAGCAGTGGGTGTGCTGTAGGAGCATCCCAGCAGTGGGTGTTGTGGGATGGTCCCAGCAGTGGGTGTGCTGTGGGAGCGTCCCAGGAGTGGGTGTTGTGGGAGGGTCCCAGCAGTGGGTGCTGTGGGAGGGTCCCAGCAGTGGGTGTTGTGGGAATGTCCCAGCAGTGGGTGTTGTGGGAGGGTCCCAGCAGTGGGTGTGCTGTGGGAGTGTCCCAGCAGTGGGTGTGCTGTGGGAATGTCCCAGCAGTGGGTGTTGTGGGAGCGTCCCAGCAGTGGGTGTTGTGGGAGGGTCCCAGCAGTGGGTGTGCTGTGGGAGCGTCCCAGCAGTGGGTGTGCTGTGGGAGCATCCCAGCAGTGGGTGTTGTGGGAGCGTCCCAGGAGTGGGTGTGTTGTGGGAGGGTCCCAGGAGTGGGTGTTGTGGGAACGTCCCAGCAGTGGGTGTGCTGTGGGAGGGTCCCAGGAGTGGGTGTTGTGGGAACGTCCCAGCAGTGGGTGTTGTGGGAGGGTCCCAGCAGTGGGTGCTGTGGGAGGGTCCCAGCAGTGGGTGTTGTGGGAGGGTCCCAGCAGTGGGTGTTGTGGGAGCGTCCCAGCAGTGGGTGTGCTGTGGGAGCGTCCCAGCAGTGGGTGTGCTGTGGGAGCATCCCAGCAGTGGGTGCTGTGGGAGTGTCCCAGCAGTGGGTGTGCTGTGGGAGCATCCCAGCAGTGGGTGCTGTGGGAGTGTCCCAGCAGTGGGTGTGCTGTGGGAGCATCCCAGCAGTGGGTGCTGTGGGAACGTCCCAGCAGTGGGTGCTGTGGGAGGGTCCCGGCAGTGGGTGTTGTGGGAGCGTCCCAGCAGTGGGTGTGCTGTGGGAGCGTCCCAGCAGTGGGTGTGCTGTGGGAGCGTCCCAGCAGTGGGTGTGTTGTGGGAGAGTCCCAGCAGTGGGTGTTGTGGGAGCGTCCCAGCAGTGGGTGTGCTGTGGGAGCATCCCAGCAGTGGGTGCTGTGGGAGTGTCCCAGCAGTGGGTGTTGTGGGAGGGTCCCAGCAGTGGGTGTGCTGTGGGAGCATCCCAGCAGTGGGTGCTGTGGGAGTGTCCCAGCAGTGGGTGTGCTGTGGGAGCATCCCAGCAGTGGGTGCTGTGGGAGTGTCCCAGCAGTGGGTGTGCTGTGGGAGCATCCCAGCAGTGGGTGCTGTGGGAACGTCCCAGCAGTGGGTGCTGTGGGAGGGTCCCGGCAGTGGGTGTTGTGGGAGCGTCCCAGCAGTGGGTGTGCTGTGGGAGCGTCCCAGCAGTGGGTGTGCTGTGGGAGCGTCCCAGCAGTGGGTGTGCTGTGGGAGCGTCCCAGCAGTGGGTGTGCTGTGGGAGCGTCCCAGCAGTGGGTGTTGTGGGAGCGTCCCAGCAGTGGGTGTTGTGGGAGCGTCCCAGCAGTGGGTGTGCTGTGGGAGCATCCCAGCAGTGGGTGCTGTGGGAGTGTCCCAGCAGTGGGTGTTGTGGGAGGGTCCCAGCAGTGGGTGTGCTGCGGGAGTTTCCCAGCATGGCTGTGCCTCCTGCTTCCTGCGGGTGTGGACTCAGAATGCCTGGGTCAGTGCCTTGCTCTGAGGATTTGGGGAATGATCCCGTAGATGGGAGTTTGCTTTCTCTTCCTGTGGGTCTGTCTCTCTCGATCTCTCTGCCTTTCTAATTAAAAAAAGAAAGAATTAGAAAAGAACTAAGTGTGGGAAGCAGGGCCCGGCTCCCACAACATGGCGCTGAGGGGGAGTAAGCAAGTTCTACACAGCCGCTTCGGCTGCTTCATCAGTTTGACTAACGAGCTGCAGGGGCTGACCCAACCTCTGATTGGAGGAAAGCGGCATGCTCAGCACAGGCAGCGGAGCACGGATTGGTGGAAGAGGACTATAAAAGGGGACTCAGCTGCACTTACTACTGTCTCCCGGCTGGTGCAGAGTTCGGGGGGTGGTTGGTTGGAGAGTCGGTTGGAGAGTTCGCTGGGGAGCTCGTTATTTCGTTCTTCTTTCCCTGTTCTTGCGTTGCTGTAGAAGAAACCTACAGCAAGGGAAAAACAGCGTCCGGCCCGGTGCTGCTCCGACAACTAAGAGTTTAAACAGTAGATTCAGAAACAGTTTTTTTCAACATTTAAAAAATTTTGTAATTGCATTTAAGGTTTAGTCTATGAGAATGGAATTAGTGCTGTCCCTGAGTTGCACTGGCCTGTGCAGGGCTCACAGGACAACCCATGGGGCCGTGGTGTTTGCTGTGTGAGTTCTCACTGGCTGCTGTTAGCCAAGCTTTTGTGCCGTCTCAGTCCCCATGGCGACCCCCGTGTACAGAAGAAAGGACACTTCCACACGTGGAGTAATTTTCCCAATCTTGCATATCTTCTGAAAGGCACGGCCAAGTCTTTTTTTTTTTTTTTTTTTTTGAGAATGGGAAATGGGATTTCCATCCTGTTTCTTTGTTTCTTTCTTTTTTCTTCTTTTTTTTTTTTTTAAAGATTTTATTTATTTGAGAGTTAGAGTTACAGACAGTGAGAGGTAGAGACAGAGAGAAAGGTCTTCCATCTGCTGGTTCACTCCCCAAATGGCCACAATGGCCAGAGTTGTGCCGATCCGAAGCCAGGAGCCAGGAGCTTCTTCCCAGTCTCCTACACAGGTGCAGGGGCCCAAGTACTTGGGCCATCTTCTACTGCTTTCCCAGGCCACAGCAGAGAGCTGGATCAGAAGTGGAGCAGCTTGTACTAGAACCAGCACCCATATTGGATGCTGGCCCGCATGTGGAGGATTAACCTACTGCGTCAGGCCCCGTAATTAAGTCTTTTTTTTTTTTTATTTTTTATTTTTTATTTTTTTTATTTTTGACAGGCAGAGTGGACAGTGAGAGAGAGAGACAGAGAGAGAAAGGTCTTCCTTTTGCCGTTGGATCACCCTCCAATGGCCGCCGCTGCAGCCGGCGCACCGCGCTGATCCGATGGCAGGAGCCAGGATCCAGGTGCTTTTCCTGGTCTCCCATGGGGTGCAGGGCCCAAGCACCTGGGCCATCCTCCACTGCACTCCCTGGCCATAGCAGAGAGCTGGCCTGGAAGAAGGGCAACTGGGACAGAATCCGGCGCCCCGACCGGGACTAGAACCCGGTGTGCCAGCGCCGCAAGGTGGAGGATTAGCCTATTGAGCCACGGCGCCGGCCTTGTAATTAAGTCTTGAACCAAGATCTTTAAAAAGAAAAAAAAATTCTATTCAAATACTACTCCAAATCATTGACTTTCATTAATTTTTTGTTGTTGTTATTTGAAAGGCAGAGAGAGGGGATGAGAGAGAGCTCCCATCCTCTGGCTTACTCCCCAGTGCCCACTACGGCCAGATCTGGGCCAAGCCAAAGCCAGCAGCCTGGCACTCAATCCAGGTCTCTCTTGGGGGTAGCTGGGACCCAGCTCCTTGAACGATGATCTGCTGCCTCCCAGGGTGCACATTCTAGCAGGAAGCTGGAATCAGAGGCAGAGCTGGGACAAACCCCGGCACCTTGACATGGGACGCAGGCGTCCTAGCCAGCACTGCGCCGAAGACCTGGGTTATCTGACAGGCGTTACGATTTATTTAATCATTGTCCTACCAGGAGATATTTTGGTTACTTTTACTTTTTGATCATTCCAGGGACTGTCGGCACAGCCTAGATACTGGTGTGATTACAAAGAGTTCAGTGAGAACACACATCTTAAATACTGGTTATTGTTTTCACAGTGTCCTGAGAAAAGACCTCATCAGTTAGTTTCTGGTGCATCTCTGAGTACCTTCACTGCCACACCGAGTGCTCACTGTCGCTCACGTTTCTGGTCTGAGCGGGAAAGTGTCTGTTGGCTGCACTTCTCTGATTATCAGTGAGCTGCCAGTGTTTCGTCGTTGGTGCTTAGTGTGTGGTGAATTGTCTGGCTTCGTCATACGCACCTGTGCCAGTCACCTGTTTAGATATGCCAGCGGCTGGCGCCTTGGCTCACTAGGCTAATCCTCCGCCTTGTGGCGCCGGCACACCGGGTTCTAGTCCTGGTCGGGGCGCTGGATTCTGTCCCGGTTGCCCCTCTTCCAGGCCAGCTCTCTGCTGTGGCCAGGGAGTGCAGTGAAGGATGGCCCAAGTGCTTGGGCCCTGCACCCCATGGGAGACCAGGAGAAGCACCTGGCTCCTGCCATCGGATCAGCGTGGTGCGCCGGCTGCAGTGCGCCAGCCGCGGTGACCATTGGAGGGTGAACCAACGGCAAAGAAGACCTTTCTCTCTGTCTCTCTCACTGTCCACTCTGCCTGTCAATTAAAAAAAAAAAATATGCCAGCATCTCTCTTCGTGTCGGTAATAACGCTGGGATCGTACACCTTTGCATGTCTGTTTTAGTGTTTGTTTTCTACTGTTCCCTTGAAATAAAGGCCTATCAGTGGAATAACTGGGTCCAGACAGTGAAAGTCTTGCGGCATGTACTATGGGAATTTATTTTCAAAGGCTTGGTTCAGTTTGCCACCCACTGGTATGAAACAGCAGCAGCACAGAGAAAGGCGCTGGCCGTGGCGTGCGGCTCGGTGACCCCGCAGGCGCTGCCAGCACTGGAGCCCCTTGCTCTCCCTCAGGTTGCAGCCTGCACCCTCGCTAACCCTGACCCTGACTGCCGAGAGACACGTTCTCTAGAGGCCAGAACGTCGATACGGGTACTCTGCAGGTAGTGGCCTTCAAAAGGAGAACACTGAGCAGTGCGTCCTGTGTGCCTTAGGAAGCGCGGCTCCCCGGGGCCTGGCTCAGGCACTGCCGTGCACGGTATCGCGGGTGACAGCGGCGTCGTTTTAACCTTGGTGGTCAGGAAGGCTCCTGCAGCCTAGAGAGCAGCTGCACACGGCATCACCAGAGCCTCTTGGCGCACCGCAGGGCGTGCGTTTGCCCCCAGGGGCCTGGCTTGTGTCACTCGCTGCTAGGTCTGGCGCCTCTGCTCAGCAGGTGCATGTGTGCCTCCCGTGAGAACCCGAGGTGGCCGGCACTCAGCTGCCACAGTAGCAAGCATGAAGGCCCTGACGCTGTCTGCCCCACACTGTCATGGTCAGGGTCTTAGAAGCAGCTTCTGAAAGTCTGAATTCCTTAGTGTTGGGCTGTGTAAGTTGGTCTGTGGCCAACAGGAAATCCTGAGGTATTTCGACAGGCCTCTCCCTTCAGTCGTGTTGTAGCCGCATTGTACTTGGGTATGTTGGGTTGTGGGTAATACAGCGCTACCTTCACCTTGCGTAGTGGACCCATCCTTCCTCTTTCCATACAAGGTGGTTCGGTGTGCTCTGGAAATCCCTTCTGCTGTTGGCAGTAGTCTCAGTGCAGGAACCCGATGCGGGAGCAGGGTCAGGGTGGCTGGTGGGGAATGTGCTCTGCACGGGGTGCCTGGCTGCACCGTGTGTGGTGCGGACAGCCTGGGCCTGGGCACAGCGTCTGCACCATCCTGAGAGCCTACTGGGGTCTCCGCAGCCTGAAGGCAGACCTTGCCAGAATGCAGGGGTGCCGTGTGAGTGCTCGGCCGCCTTAAAGGCTGATCCTTCTCTCTGCCTCCTCTCAGAAGGTTTTTTGCTTTAAGAGACAAAAGTAGACCATGTGTGTTTGGGTAGCCCGTGGGATGGTAGTCCCCGTTGTCTAAGGTGTTTCCGCTTGTTCTGTCGTAGGACATGAAGGATCAGATGTCGGCTTCTTCTGTGCAGGCGTTGGCTGAAAGAAGGAACAGACAGGTGAGGGAACAGCGGGCACACGTCCGTCAGCACACACACCGACACTGGGCTCCACAGTGCTGACCGCAGGCCCGTGTGGGCTGGAGGAACGGGCTCTGCGGTCACGGTGGGTTCTGCCCAGGCGGCACTTACCTGACGGGGGCAGGGATTGGACAGCTGAGGATTTAAATTGCAGTAAAGACATTGGAGAAACCTTCAGTGTGTGTGAAATTCACTGTCTCTTCATTTTAAGTATTTTTTTTAAGTTACACACTTGAGTGTTTGTTAGTAATTCCTTTTTAATTATTAAACTAGTCCTTTGAAAAAACATATATTCAAGTTTATACTTGAATTTAGACTGTGATTTGATTTAGATACATTTTGTGGGGTAGAATTTGTTTTTGCTTGTCGTGAAACTATTAAGTGATTTTTGTTCAGAGATGGTTTTCATGAATTCTTTGGATAACTGTTGCAAAGAATAAGAAAAACTATATGAAAAGTATTATTGTCTTCAAATGACTTCGCTTAACTTCATGCTATCCTAATTCTAGAAAGCTACTAAGAGTTCATTTAGTAGCCACTTAACTTGAGAAGTCAGCTCACTAGTTTTATAACTAACAGTCACTAGGTTTTTTTTTTTTTTTTTAAGATTGATTTATTTATTTGAAAGGCAGAGTTACAGAGTGAGAAGGAGAGACATAGAGAAAGATCTTCCATCTACTGGTTCACTCCCCAAATGGCCACAACAACTTCATCCAGGTCTCCCACACGGGTTCCGGGGCCCAAGCACTTGGGCCATCTTCCAGTGCTTTCCCAGGCCATAGCAGAGAGCTGGGTTGGAAGTGGAGCAGCCGGGACTCAAACTGGCACCCACATGGCATGCTGGCATCACAGGCGGCGGCTTAATCATACCAGTGGCCCCCAGGAACCAAGGGTTTTTAAGATAAAAGCTTGCTTTACACCTGTGGATGTTTATTGAGCCACTTAATTTGGAAACAAGTGTTGTAAAAGCTTGAAGAAGGGAAGAATTCTACAAATGTCACCTAAGTTCATTTTCCAGTTTCCTTTCCCTGAACTTCATTGTCCAAGTCTTTGCTGTTCTCCTTACCTATCTCCCTTGCTCTCCTTCTGAACAGTGCAGCTAGGAAAAGCCGCTAGCTAGGCCAAGCCCGTTCCACCCGGCTCCCACTCTTGCAAGGAGCTGTGGACGGCCACAGCTGTCTGGGTCTGGAGTTAGAGTTCCATTTGCACTTGAGCTTGTAAGTGCCTGTGGTCATTTGCAGTGAGGTCGAGACACTCTTCTCTGAATGCGAGGGCCTGTTCTCTAGGTAGCAGAGCTGAGCCCACAGACACAAAGAGCTGCTTGTATATTGTGTCCCTCCCAAGTGTGCTTTAGGCCATGAGGGAAGTGTTGCAGTCTCATTTCCAGGGAGTAGCAGGGCCAGCCTCGCTCTGGTGCCCACGCAGGCATCACTGTGCAGACCTTTCTCTGACTCCTGCTGTCAGCTGATGAACATGGAGCAAGCTGCTTCAGAGTAAAGTGTATGTGAGTGTTCATTCAGAGGCAGACAGACAGAGACAGAGCTGCTACCCACTGGGTCACTTCCCAGACACCCACAGCAGCAGGGCCCGGCCAAGCCAGTAGCTGAGAGCTCAGTTCAGTTTCCTCCACGGGTCTGCCGCCTCCTGCTGCCTCCTGTGGCCTGCACTGGCAGGAAGCTGGCGTAGGAGCCAGGGCAGGTGTGGGGCGGGGCATCTTAATAGGGTGATGTCCTCACAGGTCCCATCCACATAGACCATGGGAGACTTGGAAAAAAGTAGCTGCTGGTGGAGTCCAGCCCTCTGTCCATGGCCTAATGATGCCCATAGCCTTTTTCTTCTCTTCTCTTTTCTTTTTTATTTTCTTTCTTCTTCTTTTTTAAAAATCTTTTATTTATTTGCAAGGCAGAGTTACAGAGAGGGAGGGAGGGAGAGAGAGGGGGAGAGAGAGAGAGAGAGGTCTTCCACCCTCTGGTTTGCGCCACAAATGACTGCAACAGCCAGGGCTGGGCCAGGCTGAAGCCAGAAGCCAGGAGCTTCGTCCTGGCTCCCACGTGGGTACAGGGGCCCAAGCACTTGGGCCATCTTCCAACACTTTCCCAGGCCATAGCAGAGATCTGGATTGGAAGAGGAGCAGCCAGGACTTGAACCGGCACCCACATGGGACAGTGGCACCACAGGCAGAGGCTTAGCCTACTGTGCCATAGCGCCGGCCCCCATAGCCTTTCTCTGAAAAGTTATAAGGCACAGTGACCTGTGTGGAGGTCATCAGAGTCTTGGGGGCAGAATGAGCAGGATCTTTCCCATCTTGGCCGCCTGCGGCCAGATCAGGGCAAAGCCACCCACAAACCCTGGGGTTAATCACATCTAGCTTTGCCTGGACTGGTGCCCTAGGCCGTGGAAAGCTCTCCAGAGAAGAACTTCAGGGGCAGGAATTTTGCCTGGCAGTTCAGAGAGTGCTTGGGCTGCCTGGGCTCAAGTCCTAGCTCTGCTCCGAAGTCCACCTTTCTGCTCATGCACACCCTGGGAGGCAGCAGGTGATGGCCCAAGTACTTGGGTCCCTGCCACCCATGTGGGAGACCCAGGTGGCGTTCTTGCTCCTGGCTTCAGCCTGGCCCAGCCCCAGCTGTTGTGGGTCTTGGGAGAGTGAACCAGCAGATGGAAGATCGCCCTGTCTCTCACTCCATCTCACTGCCTTTCAAATTAAATAAATAAATGAGTAATCTGGTGAAGAGCTAATGACACTGTCTCAGGGACTCATAACCCTTGGAGCTTAGTGCTCTGCTCCTTGCCCAACCACTTGACGGGGTTCCCCTGGGAGCCTGCTGTGGGCCCCTCGGTGGGGAACAGTGCCCGAGCTCAAGGACCCCAGGCAGGAGGTTGCTGCCAGCGTGCTGTGGTTCTCGTGCAGGGCAGTGACTGACAGTCAGAAAGGCTGTGGGGATCAGCAGAGACTGCCAGCCGAGCAGGGATTCCTGCCAGGCCCCTGTGTGAAGACGTTCCCAAGCTAACCCATTTCTGGCTACAGACTTCCTCCAGTTCATGCGTGGGAAACTCGACCCTGGCACCTGGGATCTCTTGGCTTTCAGGACCCCTAGTGGAAGTCTCCGGCTTTGGGTCCAGCAGTTGCCTGGGCTGCCAGTCAACCCTTGTGGCCCACCTGCCTGGTGCCATCTGGGCAGCCTGCAGCCTTTGGTGCCAAGCGAGGATTGCTGGATTAAATTTGGCAGTCATTGGTGGATCTTGTGCCCTCTGCACGTGAGGGCAGGGACTCCCCACTCCTTCCCCCAGAACAGAACTTCTCTGGGTCCTACTTTCACGGAGAGGGTTCCCGATCTCTGGAGCCCGTTGGAGTAGAGCCTGTGAGTCCCCGTTGGACCTCAGGCATCCTGGGGGCAGCTGAGGCAGCGTTGCAGGTCCTGTGCATTGCGAGGGGACATTTCGTTGGCGAGGCCCACTGGGTGGACTGGAGGCCATGTTTTAAACAGTGCCACACACACACCACCCTCTGCGGCACCACGCAAACACTTGACCCAGGGAAACCAGATGGTGAGAAATGCGGGACCTCTGTCTGTCACTTGCTCTGTGCTGTCAGCTGTTGGTGACTCCTGACTCCAAGTGTCCCCACTAACACAGGCACTGCTGGGAGACAGTGGTGGCCAGAGCTGGAGCAGCAGAGCCCCAGATAAATACGGGCGCCTGGACCGAGAGCTGCAGGTGGCCAACTCCCATTTCATCGAGGAGCAGCAGGCACAGCAGCAGGTACTGCAGGGACACAGAGGTTGTGGGGCGGGGGTGCATCTGCTGCTTGTCCCGTGCTCGGCTTTGTCATGTGTGGTGAGTGCATCCACATGGGATTTTTTTTTTTTTTTAACAGATTGATTTGTTTATTTGAAAGTCAGAGTTAACAGAGAAAGAGAGAGAGTGAACTTCCATCCACTGGCGCACTCCACAAATGGTGGCAACAGCCTGGGGCTGGGCCAGGCTGAAACCAGGAGTCTGGAGCTTCTTCGGGGTCTCCCACGTGGGTGCAGGGGCCCAAGGACTTGGGCCATCTGCTGCTGCTTTTCCAGGCTATAGCAGGGAGCTGGATCGGAAGTGGAGCAGCTGGGACTTGAACCAGTGCTAGTGTGGGATGCTGGCACTGCAGGTGGCAGCTCTACCCACTGTTACAGTGCTGGCCCCGGCCCCCACATGGAATTCTAAAACTTTATTCTTTTTTTGCCCTAGAAATCTTCTATTTAAGGTGTACATATTTCATGCGTTTCATATATACAACTTTAGAAACAGTGAATCTTCCCACCATACTCATCTTCCCACACCTCTTCCTCCTCCCTCTCCTATTCCCATTCTTAATTTTTACTAAGCTCTATTTTAAATTAGCTTTATACACATACTGTTAATTCTATACTAAGTAAATAGTTCAGCAAATAGTATGGAAAACTGTTCCTCAACAGTTCAGACAAGAGCTATTCAAAGTCATCCCACCTCAAAGTGTGAATTTCACTTCCACAGAATGCCTTTTGGGTGGTCTGTTATCACAGGTCAGGGAGAACATATGGTATTTGTCCCTTTGGGACTGGCTTATTTCACTAAGTATGATGGTTTCCAGTTTCACCCATTTTCTTCTAAATGACCGAATTTCATTTTTTACTGCTGTGTAGTATTCCATGGTGTACATATCCCATAATTTCTTTATCCAGTCTTCAGTTGATGGGCATTTGGGCTGATTCCATGTCCTGGCTACTGTGAATTGAGCTGCAGTAAACATGGGGGTGCAGATAACTCTTCATATGCTGATTTCATTTCCCTCGGGTAAATTCCCAGGAGTGGGATGGCAGGGGCGTATGGCAGGTCTGTATTCAGGTTTCTGAGGTGTCTCCATACTGTCTTCCACACTGGCTTCCCAGTTTACATTCCCACCAACAGTGGATTAGGGAACCTTTCTCCCCACATCCTCACCAGCATTTGTTGTTTGTTGATTGCTGTATGAAAGCCAGTTCTAACTGGGGTGAGCTGAAACCTCATTGTGGTTTTGATTGGCATTTCCCTGATGGCTAGTGATCCTGAGCATCTCTTCATGTGTCTGTTGGCCATTTGGATTTCCTCTTTTGAAAAATGCCTGTTGAAGTCTTTTGCCCATTTCTCCACTGGGTTGTTTGTTTTCTTGTTGCTGAGTTTCTTGATCTCTTTCTATATTCTGGTTATTAATCCTTTATCAGTTGCATAGATTGCAGATAATTTCTCCCGTTCTGTTGTTTGCGTCTTCGCTTTGCTAAATGTTTCTTTTGCAGTGCAGAAGCTTTTCAATTTGATGTAATCCCATTTCTCAATTTTGGCTTTGACTGCCTGTGCTTCTGGGGTCTTTTCCAAGAACTCTTTGCCTATGCCAGTGCCTTGCAGAGTTTCCCCAGTGTTCTCCAAGAATTTGATGTTATCAGGTCATAGATTTAGGTCTTTGATCCATGTTGAGTGGATTTTTGTGTAAGGTGTAAGGTGGGGTCTTGCTTCATACTTCAGCACATGGAAGCCCAGTTTTCCCAGCACCATTTTGAAGAGACTGTCCTTGCTCCAGGGACTGGTTTAGCTCCTTTGTCAAAGGTAAGGTGGTTATAGAAGCGTGGATTGATTCTGGTGTTTCTGTTCCGTTCCATTGGTCTATCCATGTGTTGTTATACAAGAACCAGCCTGTTTTGATTAAAACTGCCTTGTAGTGTGTCTTGAAATCTGGTATTGTGATGCCTCTGGCTTTGTTTGTGGTATAACTTTGCTTTAGCTCTTCAGGATCTCCTGTGATTCCATATGAATTTCAGCATCATTTTTCTATAGACAAATATATATACTTCTATGGATATATAGTTTTTCTATAGATGTATTCTCAGATATATCTGAAAAAAAATTTGTTGGTATTTTGATTGTATCACATTCAATCTGTAAATTGCTTTTGGAGGAATGGACATTTTGATGATATTGATTCTTCCAATCCATGAACATGGAATTTTTTTCCATTTTTTTTTATATCTTCATCTGTTTCCTTTAAAGTTTTCTAATTTTCATCATAGAGATGTTAGACATCTTTGGTAAAATTTACTCTAAGGTATTTGATTTTTTGTAGCTATTGTGAATGGGATTGAACTCAGAAGCTCTTTCTCAGCCGTGGCATTGGCTGTGTATACCAAAGCTGTTGATTTTTGTGTATTGATTTTATATCCTGCTACTTTGTCAAACTCTTCTATGAGTTACAATAGTTCTCTTAGTGGAGTCTTTTGGATCCTGTACTTATAGAATCATGACATCTGCAAATAGGGATAGTTTGACTTCCTTCTCTCAGTTTTTATCCCTTTGATTTCTTTTTCTTGCCTAATGGCTCTGGTTAAAACTTCCAGGACTATATTGAATAGCAGTGGTGAGAGTTGGCATCCCTGTCTGGTACCAGATCTCAGTGGGAATGCTTCCAACTTTTTCCCATTCAATAGGATGCTGGCTGTGGGTTTTTCATAAATTGCCTTGATTGTGTTGAAGAATGTTCCTTCTATACCCAATTTGCTTAGAGTTTTCATGACGAAAGTGTGTTGTATTTTATCAAATGCTTTCTCGGCGTCTATTGAGATAATCATATTGTTTTTCTTCTGCAGTCTGTTAATGTGGTGTATCACATTGATTGATGTGCATATGTGGAACCATCCCTGCATACCAGGGATAAATCCTACTTGATCTGGGTGGATGATCTTTCTGATGTGTTGTTATATTCTATTGGCCAGAATTTTATTGAGGATTTTTGTGTCTATGTTCATCAGGGAAATTCTCTTTCTCTGTGCATCTTTTTCAGGTTTAGGAATTAAGGTGATGCTGGCTTCATAGAAAAAATATGGGAGGATTCCCTCTCTTTTGATTGTTCTGAATAGTTTGAGAAGAATTGGAGTGAGTTCTTCTCTAAATGTCTGGTAGAATTCAGCAGTGAATCCGTCTGGTCCTGGGCTTTTCTTTGTTGGGAGGGCCTCTATTACTGATTCAGTTTCCATCTCGGTTAAGGGTCTGTTTAGGTTTTCTGTCTTCCTGGTTCAATTTAGGTAGGTTGCGTGTGTCCAGGAATCTCTCCGTTTCTGATAGATTTCCCAGTTTGCTGGCAAACTCCTTGTAGTAATTTCTGGGATTCTTCTATTTCTGTGGTGTCTGTTGTTGCATTCCCTTTTTCATCTCTAGCTATTGATTTGGGTCTTCTCCCTCCTTTTTTTTGGTTAGTTGGGCCAATGGTGTGTCAGTTTTGTTTTGTTTTGTTTTGTTTTTTCAAAAAACCAGCTCTTTATTTCACTGATCTTTTGTGTAGGTTTTTTGGTTTCAATTTTGTTGATTTCTTTTCTAATCTTAATTATGCCTTTTTTCCTACTAGCTTTGGGTTTGGTTTGCTGTTGTTTTTCTAGGTCCTTGAGATGCATTCATAGCTCATTTATTTGCTGCCTTTCTAATTTCTTGATGTAGGCACCAACTGCTATAAACTTTCCTCTTAACACTGCTTTGCTGTATCCCGTAAGTTTTGATGTGTTGTGTTGTCATCTTCATTTGCTTCCAGAAAGTTTTTTATTTCTCTTTTGGTTTCTTCTGTGACCCAGTCTTCATTCAGGAGCGTGTTGTTCAGTCTCAATGTGTTTGCTGTGCTCTAGGGATTCCTGAGTTGCTAATTTCCAGCTTCATTCCATCGTGGTCCGAGAAGATGCATGGTATGTTTTTGATTTTTTGAATTTGCTGAGACTTGCTTTATGGCCTAGCATGTGGTCAATCCTAGAGGAAGTTCCATGCACTGCTGAGAAGAATGTGTGTTCTGCAACTGTGGATGATAAGTTCTATAGGTATCTGTCAGATCCGTTTGGTCTGTAGTGTCGATTGAGTCTGCTGTTTCCTTGTTGATCTTCTGTCTGGTTGATCTGTCCATTGCTGCAAGTGGGGTACTGAAGTCCCCCAGTACTATTGTATTTTAGTCTGTGTGTCCCTTTAGATCCACTAACATTTCTTTTAATTAGCCAGGTGCCCTGTGATTAGGTGCATATGCATTTCTAGTAGTTACATCTTCCTGTTGAATGGATCCCTTAATCATTATATAGTGCCCCGCTTTGTCTCTTTTAACAGTTTCTGTGTTGAAGTCTATTTTGTCTGATAGTAAGATGTCCACACCAGCTCCTTTCTGGTTTCTTTTGGCATGGAATATCTCTGACCTTTCACTTTCAGTCTGTGTGCATCTTTGTTGGAAAGATGTGTTTCTTGCAGGCAGCAAATAGAAAGGTTTTATTTTTTGATCCACTAGGCAGTCTGTGTCTTTTAACTGAGAGTTGAGGCCCTCTTTTTCTCTCTACTTTGGCAGGTCCACTGTTCCCCACAGGGCTCCATGCCAGGCCCACACCAGGCTCTCGAGCTCTTCCCACAGCTTTACCGCCAGCGGCTTGGGCTGCTGCAATCTGGTCTCCGCTCACTCCAGAGCTGGTGCTGAGGATCTGGGCTCCTGGGGTCCTGAGCCTTGTGTGTGCAAACCCTTCCCTGGGTTTGCACACTATGTGAGTCTGTGTGGCTGTTCTGTCCCGGGGTTTGCACACTGTGTGAGTCCGTGTGGCTGTGCCGTCCCTGGGTTTGCACACTGTGTGAGTCTGTGTGTTGTGCCATCCCTGGGTTTCACATTGGGTGAGTCTCCGTGTGGCTGTGCCGTCCCGGGGTTTGCACACTGTGTGAGTCCGTGTGGCTGTGCCGTCCCGGGGTTTGCACACTGTGTGAGTCTCTGTGTGGCTGTGTCGTCCCTGGGTTTGTGCACTGTGTGAGTCTGTGTGGCTGTGCCGTCCCTGGGTTTGCACACTGTGTGAGTGTATGTGGCTGTGCCATCCCTGGTTTGCACACTGTGTGAGTCTGTGTGTTGTGCCGTCCCTGGGTTTGCACATTGGGTGAGTCTCTGTGTGGCTGTTCCATCCCGGGGTTTGCACACTGTGTGAGTCCGTGTGGCTGTGCTGTCCCTGGGTTTGCACACTGTGTGAGTCTGTGTGGCTGTGCCGTCCCTGGGTTTGCACACTGTGTGAGTCCGTGTGGCTGTGCTGTCCCTGGGTTTGCACACTGTGTGAGTCTCTGTGTGGCTGTGTCGTCCCTGGGTTTGTACACTGTGTGAGTCCGTGTGGCTGTGCTGTCCCTGGGTTTGCACACTGAGTGTGTGTGGCTGTGCCGTCCCTGGGTTTGCACACTGTGTGAGTGTATGTGGCTGTGCCATCCCTGGTTTGCACATTGGGTGAGTCTCCGTGTGGCTGTGCCGTCCCGGGGTTTGCACATTGGGTGAGTCTCCGTGTGGCTGTGCCGTCCCGGGGTTTTGTGTGCTCTGCGTCAAGACCTTGCTTTTCCCAGCCGATAGCCACATGCTCACCTTGGCTCAGCCTTGGTCTTCCCCCTTTGGACTTCAGCTGACCAGAGAGCATCTCTGGGTGGTCTAGAGTGTCCCTGGTCTCAGGTTGGACCAGCAGGCTCTGGCTCCACTGGCCGGCCTTGTGCGCTGTGTGCTGTTGGAGGCGGTGGTCTGGTCCTTGTGTTCTGGGCTGGCCACTAAATGCACATCTGTCCAGCTGGCCGGGAGGCAGCAGCTGCTCAGGGCCGGGCGTGGGACCAGGGAGGTGGATTTTAACGGCTGATTCCCCTCTGTGCAGCTGATTGTGGAGCAGCAGGATGAGCAGTTGGAGCTGGTCTCCGGCAGCATCGGGGTGCTGAAGAGCATGTCCCAGCGCATCGGAGGGGAGCTGGAGGAGCAGGCAGTGTGAGTACTGGGCGCCCTCTCGCCGGGCGGCGCTGGAGACCCCAAGAGCCAGCACTCACCTGGTGCTTTGTTCGTGGCTGTTTTCTGCTCCATGTTACCCACTGGCCCTCCCAGGAAAGGAAATCTGAGAAAATTTACAACAGGTGGTTCAGGCAGCTCTGGACACAGGTACCCGTCCCCCTGAGAGCATGCCTGGCCAGTGTCTGTGAGTGGGAGAGTGGACCAGACGGGACCTGAAGCCGTGGGTGAGACCAGCGCGGCAGGAGAGTGAGGTGGGTTAGGAGCTGATCTGTCTCCCCAGGACTTTCCTGCTACGTGGACTAAAGCTGTGCTTGGTATCTGAAGTTGTAGCTTTATGCAAATCTTATGGATTTACTTCTAATTAACAAGAAAGGCTTCCCTCTCATAAAATAAAAACCAGAAAACATACTTTGTCCTTAAGAACAGTCTCTTTTACACTGGAAGATGACAGCAAAAAGAGCATTTTTAAGTGATGCTACATAATACCTTGACCATTTTACACACTTTTTCCTGGGGAAAGACAGCCTGCCAGGATAGTTCAGAAACTCCTGTCTTGGCCGGCGCTGTAGCTCAATAGGCTAATCCTCCGCCTAGCGGCGCCGGCACACTGGGTTCTAGTCCCAGTTGGGGTGCCGGATTCTGCCCCGGTTGCCCCTCTTCCAGGCCAGCTCTCTGCTGTGGCCAGGGAGTGCAGTGGAGGATGGCCCAAGTGCTTGGGCCCTGCACCCCATGGGAGACCAGGATAAGCACCTGGCTCCCACCTTCGGATCAGTGCAGTGCGCCGGCCACAGCGCGCCGGCCGCGGCGGCCATTGGAGGGTGAACCAACGGCAAAGGAAGACCTTTCTCTCTGTCTCTCTCTCTCACTGTCCACTCTGCCTGTCAAAAAAAAAAAAAAAAAAAAAAAAAGGAACTCCTGTCTCACGGTCATTCTGTGGCTACAGTCGTTGTGTGTTCTCACTGGAAAGCCCTAGAACATAGCACAGAGCAGACAGCGACAGCTTCCTGTGCGACGTCATTGCCTGGTGATGTCAGGGGGCAGATGAAGGTGCCGTGATGAGGCCAGAGCTGCTGCCCAGAGCCCCCACCAGGGGTCCTGAGAAAGGGGGGTTTTTGTGGCTACCTGCAGGCCCTGCGGGAGCGTGGGGCAGGGGCGCTGTGGGAGCAGTCCCGCAGAGGCCCTGTCAGCAGGCTGACAGGGAAGGTGAGGCGGGAAGGCCGCCTGTAGTCTGGTGAGGTCCTGCACTGGGACAGTCGCACGTTTGAGTTCTGACTCTGGAGTTCAGGGGCCTCGGGGATAGGTGCTGAGAGGCTGCAGCTGGAGACGTGAGTTGAGAACGCCCCTCAGCTCTGCGGTCTCTCCAGCACAGAAGGGTGTTTTATAAAGGCCTGAAACCTGCGGAGGCGTAGTGCATGGGCTGGGAAACGTCTGGATCCCAGAAGGCGGACGAGTGCCTGGCTGTGACCTGCAGACCAAACAGCAGAACCCCAGGCAGCCCTGGGCCGCCAGGAAGCCATGAGGTTGTGGCCACAGAAGCCCTAGTGTGGCCCTCCTGCTCTCTGGGGCAGGGTCCGTCAGTGTTGGAAGCCCCTCAGGAAGAGTGAGGTGCTGGCAGCCCAGCTTGTGTCTTTGGAGAACAGGGATCGCTGAGGAAAAGTAGACTGAAAGGAGAGCAGGAGGGCCAGGGCTGGACCTGTGCTGGCCTGGGCGCGGCTGGGAGTGGACAGTGGAGTGTGCAGGCTCAGGATAACTTATTAATACTTTTCATTTAATACTTGAGGGCCTGTTGAAGTGGGGATGTTTTTGTATGTTAGAGTGAGTATAATTATTAAAATTAATTTCACCTGTTCCTTTTCTTTTTTTTAAGATTTATTTATTTATTTGCGAGGCGGCATTACAGAGAGAGGGAGAGGCAGAAAGATCTTCCATCTGCTGGTTCACTCCCCAAATGTCCGTAATGGCTGGAGCTGGGCTGATCCAAAGCCAGGAGCCAGGAGCCTCTTCCCAGTCTCCCACGCAGCTGCAGGGGCCCGAGAACTTGGGCCATCCTCCACTGCCTTCCCAGGCCAGAAGCAGGCAGCTGGATCAAAAGTGGAGCAGCCAGGACTTGAATCGGTGTCCATATGAGATGCCGGCACTGCAGGCGGAGACTTCACCTGCTGTGCCACAGCTCCGGCCCCTCTTTCTGTTTGTCTCACGTGGCTCCTAGAAGTGCAACGTGGCGTGTGTGGCCTGTGCTGTTTCTGTTGGACAGCGTGGAGTTAGACCGACTGGAAACCTGGTTGTGAGCATCCGTGGGCTGACGGTTCAGTGAGTGCCTGTTTCGTCTGTGGTCAGAAGTCGCAGCCCGCACACGGAGGTGGCTCTTTCCTCTCAGGTGGCCTGCCTGGCCGGCCAGCCTGCCAGAATCTAGGATGAGCTGGAAGCGTTTGCATCTGAAAACACAGGGAAGGGACACTCAGTTGCCAGCGTGGAGTGACGTCGGCTGCCGCAGGGTGTCCTGTGTGGCTGCTGGCGCCTGCGCGCTGGCGGAGTGTGTGGAGCCGCGCGGCAAGGCCCCGGCGCTCACTGCTCTGTGCTGGTCCAGCCGGAGGCCGCTCAGACATCAGTCAGACCCTGAAGTAAATGCGCTGGAACGGGAGCTCAGGACGTGGGTGTTCCCTTTGCTGCTCGGCGGACAGAGACGCTGTGAGCCTCCTGGAGCCAGGTCTCCTCGTGGAGACGCTGACCCGGTGTGCGCACATCCACGTGCCGCCAAGGACAGCGCACAGACGTAACGGACACTGCTTGGGTGACGTGTGTCCTTGCCTCAGCTGACGCAGGCTGCTTCTGCGTATGATGGGGTCTGCACGAGCCTCCCCTGGGGGACGCTGGGCTGATCCTCCGCCCTGTTCTGCAGTGAGGAGACTTGGTCTTTAGTGCAGGGATCTCTGATAAAAAGCAGATAAAAAGGAAGCCACAGAGCCATGGGGCCTGTGCCTGACCGAGGTGCCTGCTTCGCAGCCTGCTGCGTGCTGCTGGGCTTGCCGTGTCTGCAGATCTGAAGTCTGGAAAGCTCTGAAACACCCAGAGTGTGTGTGGGTTTTAATGTACAGCGAGCTCTCATGATAGGAAAGCTGCACCTGAATTGACTGCAACTCTGATTCCCTTGCACTTCCATGCAGAAACGTTAGCCTGTTTGATGATAGGACTGTCCCAGACTGCTGCAGGCTACACTCAAAACACAGACAGAGCTGGCGCCGTAGCTCACTAGGCTAATTCTCCGCCTTGCGGCGCTGGCACACCGGGTTCTAGTCCCGGTTGGGGCGCCGGATTCTGTCCCGGTTGCCCCTCTTCCAGGCCAGCTCTCTGCTGTGGCCAGGGAGTGCAGTGGAGGATGGCCCAAGTCCTTGGGCCCTGCATCCCATGGGAGACCAGGAGAAGCACGTGGCTCCTGCCATTGGATCAGCGCGGTGCACTGGCTGCAGCGCGCTGGCCGCGGCGGCCATTGGAGGGTGAACCAACGGCAAAAGGAAGACCTTTCTCTCTGTCTCTCTCTCTCACTGTCCACTCTGCCTGTCAAAAAAACAAAAAACAAAAAACAAAACAAAACAAAAACACACAGACAGACAAAAACCCAAAACACCCTCAAAGTCGAAGCTGTCCTCCGGTGCCAGGGATTCTGTGTGGTGGGCGAGGGCCGCAAGTCGTGTGTGTGACAGAGTGGGACCCCCGGCTCTGTGTTTATCTGCACCTGCCCTCTGTGTCTGTGTCTGTCTCTCTAGAATGTTGGACGGTTTCTCCCACGAGCTGGAGAGCACTCAGTCTCGGCTGGACAACGTGATGAAGAAACTCGCCAAGGTGTCTCACATGACCAGCGGTAGGTATGGCGTCTACACAGAGAACTGGCATTGGTCCTGGACCTTGGTCTGTGGGGCTGTCTCCCAGGTGTGCCCCAGCGCCTCCTGCCGCCCAGGGCTGGGGCTGTCTCCCAGGTGTGCCCCAGCGCCTCCTGCCGCCCAGGGCTGGGGCTGTCTCCCAGGTGTGCCCCAGCCCTTCCTGCCGCCCAGTGCTGGGGAGGTCTCCCAGGTGTGCCCCAGCGCCTCCTGCCGCCCAGGGCTGGGGCTGTCTCCCAGGTGTGCCCCAGCGCCTCCTGCCGCCCAGTGCTGGGGCTGTCTCCCAGGTGTGCCCCAGCCCTTCCTGCCGCCCAGTGCTGGGGAGGTCTCCCAGGTGTGCCCCAGCGCCTCCTGCCGCCCAGGGCTGGGGCTGTCTCCCAGGTGTGCCCCAGCCCCTCTTGCCACCTAGTGCTGGGGGTGTTCCAGGGCCCACATGCACAGGCCTGGTATTGAGCTTGTCACTGTCGCTTGGGAAATGGTCTTTGGGCTCCTACATGCTTCCTCCAAGACAGCAGTATCTTTGCAACTAGAAAATGCTTTTTTATATTTCCTTCCCAAAATAGGGAACTTACTTAAGGTAATAATTAATTAAGAAGCCAGAACTGTCTCTTATTGATAGAGAAATGCCTACAATTTCAGATGGTCTTGTGGATCTAATTTAAACAGTTGCGTTTAATTTGTTGTAGAATAGTCCAGGGAATTTGTATCATGATGGGGATGAAGAAGTAATCATTTTCAAGTTAGTTATTACATATCTAGATATACTACAAATCTTTTTGTTTTTGACAGGCAGAGTTAGAGACAGAGAGAAAGGTCTTCCTTTTTTCCATTGGTTCACCCCCCAAATGGCTGCTACAGCTGGCGCGCTGCACTGATCCGAAGCCAGGAGCCAGGTGCTTCCTCCTGGTCTCCCATGGGGTGCAGGGCCCAAGCACTTGGGCCATCCTCCACTGTCTTCCCGGGCCACAGCAGAGAGCTGGCCTGGAAGAGGAGCAATCAGGACAGAATCCGGCGCCCCAACTGGGACTAGAAACCGGGTGCCGTGCCGCAGGCGGAGGATTAGACAAGTGAGCCACAGCACTGGCCACAAATCTTTATTTATCTGAGAGAAGAACATTCCTGTTTATTCCCTCTCCAAGTGCCAACAATGGCCAGGTGGGGCCAGGCCAACGCTGGGAGCCAGGAGCTCCACTCAGGTCTCTGTGTGGGTGGCAGGGACCCAAGCACTGGAACCACCACCTCTGCCTCCCGGGGTGCCCGTGAGCAGTCAGGAGCTGGGTCTGGGAATTGAGCCCAGGGACTTGGATGTGAGACAGAGGTGCTCTAACCCCTGACCAGACTCCAACCCCCAACCAGACCCCAGCCCCAGCCAGACCCCAACCCCCAGCCAGACCCCAACATCAACTCCTGACCAGACCCCAATCCCCAACCAGACCCCAACCCCAGGCCAGACCCCAACCCCAGGCCTGCCCCCAGCCCCCAGCCAGACCCCAACCCCAGGCCAGACCCCAACATCAACCCCTGACCAGACACCAATCCCCAACCAGACCCAAACCCCAGGCCAGACACCAACACCAACCCCTGACCAAACCCTAACCCCAGGCCAGACCCCAACCCTAGGCCAGACCTCAACTCCTGGCCAGACCCCAACCCCTGACCACCCAACCCCAGACCAGACACCAATCCCCAACCAGACCCCATCCCCGGCCCAGACATTCCTCCCTTTATTTTTTTTATTACAATTCATCTCCCCTAGTACATACGAAATAATATGTCTTAAATCAAAGAATATTCAGCATCTCTTGTTCAGTTGCTGGGTTTGGACTAAGGAGGAACCAGGTGTTCTTAGACCAGGAACCGTTCCCCCATTAGAAGGTCCCATGTCTTGGTTCCTCATTCTTCCATGGTTCCTGCTGTCAAGTGCATGTTACAGGGTCACGTAGATGAGCCTTTGCACGAGGCTAGATTAGATACACGTGTGCGGGGTGGGGGTCCCTGCATGTTGGAGTGTCTGGTTCCAGTGCTGACCCGGCTTCCTGCTGGTGCACCCCACCCTCACGGGAGACAGACAGAGTTCCTGACTCCTGTCTGTGGACTGGAGCTGCTGCAGGCATCTGGGGAATGAACCAGCAGATGGGAGCTCCATCTCTCTCTCTCTCTCTCTCTCTCTCTCTCTCTCTCTCTGTCACTCCGTTTCAAATACATAAGTCTTTGAAAAATAAGTACATGTGCATCTTTACTCTTCAGCAGTTTAACTCAAGTTACAAAACAACTTTCTGGGACTTGATTGCTTATCTGTAAAAATAGATTGATTCCTGAGAATTAAATGAAATAACAATAACATAAGAGTTTGACAGAATCTGCCATTTATTAGTTTGTAAGAACAACTGGCCCTGGCGACAAAGGCTCTGTAGCCAAACCAGGGGCTGCTCCCTACATTGCCTGAAGCCATGTGTGTGGGCAGGCAGGTGCCTGCTGGCTTCACCGTCCACACAGGCAGAGAAAGGTTTGCAAGTCTGCCTTTCTGACTCCCCTGTTCTGTCCTCTCCACCCCCACCTGTCCACTTAAAGTGGGAAGACGTCAGTGAAGTCTCAGAGCAGCGGCGTGGACGCGCCCCTCACCAAGGCAGGCAGCCAGGGCTGTGCTGAGCTGCTGCGTGCCAGGTGTGTGGCTCTCTCAGGCGTGCTTATGCCTCCCTCTACTTTGCCACCAGAGAAGAGTTTGGGAACCAAAGTGAGGCTTCAGTGGTGTTTGTATCAGGAGGAGCCAGGAAACAGGGCAGGTAGCCTGAAAGCCTTCATTTTTGACAGGTTCCCTGTGTTTCCATTTCAGTCTTCACTTGGCTCCCAGAAGAAATCTGAGGGTGGGAGTGCCCCTCCATGTGGGCTTCCATGGTGGCCGGGCAGTGGGCACACGTCACGCGAAAGGGTGGGAGTGCCCCTCAGCGTGCGCAGTAGGCACACGTCCCCCATGAGAGTGGGAGTGCCCCTCAGTGTGGGCTCCAGTGGTGGCCAGACAGTGGGCACACGTCCCCTGTGAGGGTGGGAGTGCCCCTCTGTGTGGGCTTCCATGGTGGCCGGGCAGTGGGCACACGTCCCCTGTGAGGGTGGGAGTGCCCCTCCATGTGGGCCTCAGTGACCAGGCAGTGGGCACACACCCCCCGTAAGGGTGGGAGCGCCCCTCTGTGTGGACCTCAGTGGTGACCAGGCAGTGGGCACACGTCCCCCACACAAGGCAACGCCTCTCCTCTTTGCAAACCAGCTCCACACTTAACTATTTTTGTTTTTTTAAGAGTACTCAGAAAAGTTTTGTTTCACTAATGAAGAAAAATTTATCCTGGATTGAGTGCTCCTCTGTGCTCCCAAGGCAGTGCCCAGGCAGCTTGACCGTATTCCAGAGCAAAGCTCAAAAATACCTAAAGGGCATAAATGCGTGCAGCACCCGGCGAAGTGCAGCTCCCAGCGTGCGGGGCTGAGTCCCAGGAAAGCGCTGGTGGGGACGTGCTCCTTCAGAATATTTTACTTGGCTTTCTGGTACACTGCATCCACATGTAGGCTTCCGAATGGTCCAGGAAAGACGTTAGCTCTGCACCCACTCAGACGCACACTGGACTCGGAGTGGACTCTGCGACCCCTGCTCCCTCGCTGTCATTCTGTTCATCTTCTCTTCAGTGGAGGGAACTGTTGAGACACCCTCGTTCCCTGCCCTCGTTCCCCTAGCTTTCCGAGTCGGGTCCTGAGCTCTCCAGTGGGTAAAATTGTTTGCCCAAGTCCGCAGAAGTCCCTCTGCACAGGAATCCTTGGCAGAGGTGCTAGGGAGACGCCTGCTGGTGGCGTCCCAGCACTGGCCTTGGAGGGCAGCCGCGCGGGTGGCACGTGCTTCTCTGAGCGCAGCTGTAGGCAGGGAAGTGTCGGGGCGATGGAAAGCCCAGAGGTGGAGATTCACCCCTCCGCTGGCCAGGGCTCAGCACAGGAGGCTTATGGGGTTCGGAGGCAGTGGGAAGGAAGCAGTTACCTTCTCTGTATTTTTTGTAGATGAGTTTCATCTGCTCACCTTTCCTTTTTTTTTTTAATTTGAAAGTGTTAAGGAGACAGACATCTTCCACTTGCTGGTTCACTCCCCAAATGGCCGCAGTGGCGGGAAGGGGCCAGGAGGAAGCCAGGAGCTTCTTCCAGGTCTCCTAAGTCGGTGCAGGGGCCCAAGCACTTCACCATCCTCTGCTGCTTTCCCAGGCCATTAGCAGGGAGTTGGATCGGAAGTGGAGCAGACAGGACTTGAGCTGGTGCCCATATGGGATGCTGGCACTGCAGGTGGCAGCTTTACCTGCTACGCCATGGCGCCAGCCCCTCAATTACTCATCTTGATGAAGATAGTTTTAAATTATTGTAAATGTCTTTCTTCTTTTTTAAAATAACTATTTCTTTTTTTTTTTAGAGCAGTTTAGGTTCACAGCAAAACTGGAAGAAAAGTACAGGGTTTCATGGACGCCTTTTCCCTGATCACTGCGTCCACTAGCAACATCCGTCACCACAGTGCTGACCCTGCCCGTCATCCTCAGAGCCGGGGGGTGGGGGGGTTACACCAGGTTCATCCCTCACCACAGTGCTGACCCTGCCCGTCAGCCTCAGAGCTGGGGGGTGGGGGGGTTACACCAGGTTCATCCCGCACCACAGTGCTGACCCTGCCTGTCAGCCTCAGAGCCGGGGGGTGGGGGTTACACCAGGTTCATCCCGCACCACAGTGCTGACCCCTGCCCGTCATCCTCAGAGCCGGGGGGTGGGGGTTACACCAGGTTCATCCCGCACCACAGTGCTGACCCTGCCCGTCATCCTCAGAGCCGGGGGGTGGGGGTTACACCAGGTTCATCCCGCACCACAGTGCTGACCCTGCCCGTCATCCTCAGAGCCGGGGGGTGGGGGTTACACCAGGTTCATCCCGCGCCACAGTGCTGACCCTGCCCGTCATCCTCAGAGCCGGGGGGTGGGGGTTACACCAGGTTCATCCCGCGCCACAGTGCTGACCCTGCCCGTCATCCTCAGAGCCGGGGGGTGGGGGTTACACCAGGTTCATCCCGCGCCACAGTGCTGACCCTGCCCGTCATCCTCAGAGCCGGGGGGTGGGGGTTATACCAGGTTCATCCCGCGCCACAGTGCTGACCCTGCCCGTCATCCTCAGAGCCGGGGGGTGGGGGTTACACCAGGTTCATCCCGCGCCACAGTGCTGACCCTGCCCGTCATCCTCAGAGCCGGGGGGTGGGGGTTACACCAGGTTCATCCCTCGCCACAGTGCTGACCCTGCCCGTCATCCTCAGAGCCGGGGGGTGGGGGTTACACCAGGTTCATCCTGCACCACAGTGCTGACCCCTGCCCGTCTGCAGGCTCACTTTGCTGGTGTACGTTCTGTGGCTTTGCTGTGGGGGGGCCGGCGTCCCCATCACAGTGTCCTCCAGATCTTCCCTGTTCTGTAAGTCCCCTGTGCCCCGCCCACTCATCCTCCCTCCTCCCCAGCCCTGCGGCTGCTCCGTGGTTGTCCACTTGAACGAGGCACAGTGGGAACCTTTTCCCAGTGGCTTCCCTCACTTAGGAATGCGCAGTTCCATTTCCCACACGTGTGGAGCAGCACTCCCTGTCTGGATGTGCTGTAGCGTGCAGTCATCCCCCGCAGGGAGGATTGGTGCAGACCCCCCGTGGATGCCTCACACCTTGGCTGGTACCAGAGCCTGTCCATATTTGCCTGTGAGAAGATCGGGTTTGTGAGTTAGATGCAAGGTGGTGTTAGTAGTAACGCATAGAGCGAGTCTGGCAGTGCCCTATAATGAAAGTTCTGTGGTGTGGTCTCCCTCTCTCTCCCAGAATTCCCCCCTGCACTGTACTCTCCTGTGATGGGAGGCGAGGCACTGAGTGGATGCCATCAGTGCTGGGCTGCTGGGTAAAGAACACGGTAACACAGTCCCCTAGTACCGGGACAGCCCATGTGGTGACCCGATACGCTGCACAGAGGGGTGACTCATGCCCTGGACAGCAGATTTCTTCATGCTAGTCAGGATGGTGCAGGATTTAAGACTTGGGAGTTTATTTCTGGAATGTTGTGTGTAGTATTTGTGGCCTGTGTTGCCCATGTGTAACTAAAGCCACAGGGGTGAGGTACTGCTGTGCTTGGTTGTCTCCCAGCGTTGGCTGCTGCAAACGTCCATCCATGTGCAGTTGTGTGTGAGCTTGCAAGCTTGGAACTCCCTTGGGTGCAGGTAATGGTGCGTGGTTGCAGGTGGAGGTGAGGATGTTCAGTTTTGCAGGAATCTTCCGAGCTGCCTTGCCTACCGCTCCACACCCTGGCAGCACGTGGCTTTGGTCGTGTTTCCCACGGGTGGTGGGGGCATCCCTGGAACACCCTCCCGTGGGCCCAGGGCTGCCCATCAACCTTGGTGTTCATTCAGGTCTTTGTGTACTTGTCGGTCAGGTTGCTTTGTTATTACTGGGTTTGTGGGTTTCTTGTACACTTTGGGAGTGCCTGTTACCAGATGTGTCTTCTGCCAGTGTTTTCCCAGCCTGGGGCCTGTCTTAAACTCTTCACAGTGTCTGTGTGAGCAGTTTGTACGGCTCCTTCCTTTGCTGTGGCATCGCCAAGCCAAGGTCCCCGAGGACTTCTCTGTGCGTGTCATCTAGCATTCCCACACCAGTTTCGTGATTCTGCACTTTGCATTTAGGTCTGGGTCCATTTGGTGTAGAGGCTGCCTGTGGCTGTCGGGTGTCTCGATGTCAGACCCTGCTCTGTATGGCCCTGGCTCCTCCGTCGGAGCCTGGTTTCTGCGTGCCCTTGGCTGGCTGGCTGGCTGCCAGCAGCACGCTGTCTCAGGTGCGTGCGGTGGTACGAGCGCAGCCTCGTCGTCGTCCCACAGTCCTGGAGCTTCTGGTCAGTCTTCTCTCGCTTGCTCCCTAGCGTGGGTTTCAGATGTCAGATCCTCAAGCTGAGCCAGGTGTTGTCGCCTTTCTTTTTGATTCTTCGCCAGAATTCCCGTCTCTGCTTCCACTGTCCATCTGTTCCTGCAAGCTGTCGGCATTTTCCGTGAGCCCCTCATACGAATCACGGCTTCTGAAACTCCTGGTCTGAGCACTCCGTCACCTCTGCCAAATCTGACATTGGCCCTGATGCTTGCTGGTTGTGCCGTGTGACTTCTGGGTGAAAGATGTGGTGGTGCACGGTCTGGCGGTGCCTCCGGTGGGTGTGGCAGTGACCGCAGCAACTCAGCCCTGGGCTGAGCCTGGGCTGCGACTGGGAGTCCCACTGCTGCTGCTCAGTGTTTGCCGGGAATCTTCTGCAGGGGGTGGGTTTGGTCATTTCGCCCCTCCCAGGCTAGTGGGCTGTGGTGAAGCAGCTTCTGTAGGCAGGCCCTGGCCACAGCACAGTCCCTGCACACCTCCAAGGTGGTCACGCCCCCTCCCCCGTGCTCCCTGTATACCTGGGTCAGCTGCTAGGGGTGAACCTGTCCATGTGGGACCCCCGTGCCTGCTCGCCTGGCACTGCAGCTCTCGGACTCGTCCCCACTGTTCCTCCAGCCTCAGTCACGGGGCTGTGGCACTGAGAGGTGGCTGCAGGTGGCTTTCTGCCCACCAAGTTGTGGCTTCCTATGTTCACCAGACGTCTCCTCCTCTGACAGATCTGAGAAGAGTTGTTGCTTTCTCATGAGTGTGTTCAGTTTTTACTGTCTGGACAGAGTGGTGGCCTCTTGTATGCTGGATTGGAGACCCAGGGTTGGTAGACCGGTCGTGGTGTTGTCTGTAGGGGCGGTGCTGTCCCCAGTAACCGTGTTGTCTGTAGGAGCATTGAGCCAGTCGTGGTGTTGTCTGTACGCGTGGTGCTGTCCCCAGTTGTGTTGTCTGTAGGGGTGGTGCTGTCCCCAGTCACTGTGTTGTCTGTAGGAGCACTGAGCCAGTCGTGGTGTTGTCTGTATGTGTGGTGCTGTCCCCAGTTGTGGTGTTGTCTGTAGGGGTGGTGCTGTCCCCAGTCGCGGTGTTGTCTGTAGGTACAGTGCTGTCCCCAGTCGCCGTGTTGTCTGTAGGAGTGTTGAGCTGGTCGCAGTGTTGTCTGTATGAGCAGTGCTACCCCGTGCCCGGCTCAGTCCTGGTTCAGGAAGGTGCTGAGTGCACAGGTCCGTGTGCTCGCCCCAACATTAGCACAGGAGCTCCTGGTGGGTCCAGGTGCAGTGAGGTGTGGCTACCCTCAGAGGCACTTGTTCTGCTCTCGCTGGTTGGGTGACCCTTGGCCAGTTGAAGGCTCTGTGTGGTATCCGTGACGTCACAATATTGCTAAGCACTGGTTGTGCTTTCTGGGCAGTTTCACGTCTCTTTCTCAGATTCCCAGTAGCTGTGATGCACCGAATCTGAGCACTCATAAGGCTGTGCCCCTTTCCTCTTGGTGGCCTGCACTTGTGTAGGCAGCGGAAGTCCCTCCTTTGAGCCCTGCTTGTTCTGTGCATGGGCCCCCAGCATGCAGAGTGCACCCTGGTGCCGAGGGCGTGCTCTGGGGCCCCTGTCCCACGCGGTGTTCAGTCTCCACTCAGATGAAGTTGGGGACGCAGTCAGTGGGGGTCAGGGCTCTGCCGCCCCCCGGGCGTCTCCGCCCTCGGCCGCCTGGCTGCGGTCTGTTCCCTGTGCTTTGCTGCTGCAGGTTGCGGGTCTGGCAGACGTGCCTGCTCTCACTGCTGGGCGAGGGTTGGGCACCGACCCTCTTCCCTGGATGTCGTGTGAGCTCAGCCATGCCCCTCCCGAGCTGCCCTGTTGTGGGGAGCAATCCGGACTAGACTGAGTTACTGGAATTAAGACTTATTCTATGCATCTGCTCTCCCACTGTGGGGAGCAAACCGGACTAGACTGAGTTACTGGAATTAAGACTTATTCTATGCATCTGCTCTCCCACAATATGGCGCTGGGAGAGAAGTAAACAGCTTCCGCACAGCTGCCTCCAGTTCAACCAATAAACTGTAGGACTTGCTCCTGATTGGAGGAGAGCAGCGTACTCGGCGTGTGGGCAGCCGAGTTAGGATTGGCGGAGGAGGACTATAAAGGAGGAGAGAGACGGCATGCACCAGGAACATCTATGGGGAACATCTAAGGGAACCCGTGCAGCCCCCGAGAGAACCGGCCGGCGGTGTGCCGCTCCCCTGTGGAAGTGGGGAATGTGGCCAGGGGGAACTGCCCTTCCACGGAGGTGGAAGGGATAGTAGCCAATCCGGGAAGAACCAGCAGCAAACCCGGGGAGGGCCGAGCAGACGAAAGAACAGTGCAGGGTCCTGTGTTGCTCCTCCACGAAGAGGGGGAGCGACATAATGGTGCCGTGACTCGGATATGAAGCCTAGGCAGGACTTAGTGTCGTTCCTCCACGAAGAGGGGGAGCGACACCCTGTCAGCTGCTGCTTCCTGAGCCGCTGGCAGTGTCTCACCTCCCTGTACCCTCGTGTGGCACTCACAGGGAGAATGTGGTTCCTGCTGAGTCGGGAGACCTGGCATTGCTGGGATCTGCGACACCAGGGCCAGCATCTTTTCAGGGATGCTGAGACCCCGGCACAGACGGGGTCCACACACCTAGGCAGGCTCACAGTCAGGCCCCGTCACTTGCACACCAGTCCCTTCGCTGCTTGCCTGAGCCCCATGCACCTGCATCTCGGGGAAGCAGAGGCTGTGGAGCGCTCACACGTATCCTGCCTTCTAGATCGGCGCCAGTGGTGTGCCATCGCCGTGCTCTTTGCAGTCCTGCTGGTCGTGCTGATCCTGTTCCTCGTGCTGTGACGGACGCCTCCGCCAGGAGCCCTCGCTGCACACGACCTCGGGGAGAGGGAGAAGCCAGCCCAGCCGCCTGCCCCCAGTCCTCTCCAGGAGACGGCCGCCACGCCAGCTCCACGACTGGGAAGGGAAGAGGGGTCAGGAGCCCCCGCCCACCCCAAGGCCAACAGCCGCTGCTTTGCCTCTCCAGACCGCCTTCCCCAGGGGCCTGTGAGCGGCCCCTCCCCTGTCGTCGCCCCTCCGCCGCACCTGTGGGGAGGGCTGGCCGCTGGCTGCCTCTTGCTTCCCGTCGCTGAA